AATTATGTATATTGGAAATTTAGGTTACATTGGAAAGTAATAATTGGCTTGGGGGGGGGGGGGGGGGGGGGGGGGGGGGGGGGGGGGGTTATGGCTCTAATGTTTAAGGAATAAGGGGAAAAAAGGTTAAAAAACAAGGGTTTCCATTTTAATAGACAAATAATTGAGTAAAGAACATTATTTAAAAGCAGTGTAAGGTTGGTAATTCAAACTCATTTAAATATCTCATCTACACTGCTTTTAAATTATGTAAATTGGAAATTTGCCAATAACTTTATTGTTAATAAATGCATTGGAAATTTGCCAACAATTTTAGTGTAATAAACTTCATTGGAAATTTGCCAATATGAAATTTTGCTGATGAAGGTTTTTTGTTTACCTTTAGCCTTGACTATGAAGTCATTTTCTATTTTTATAGCCTTATGATGTAGTTGAATTATTTAATACTTTTATGATGTGTTTAAATGGGGTTTTATCATGTTTATGGTTGCAAATTTATTGTTTTAGTATAATAAACTCCATTTAAAATTTGCCAATAAAAAAAATTTTTGTTTATTTTTAGCTATGATTATGATGTCATTTTCTATTTTACTTTTATGGTTGCAAAGAAATTTTTATTTTTAGATATTACTGTTAAATGATGCTGATTAAGGTTTTTGCTATGTTTAGCCATGACTATGATGTCATTTTTATACGACCGCAAAAAAATTTTGTGGTCGTATATTGGTATGACGTTGGCGTCGTCGTCGTCGTCGTCGTCCGGCGTCGTCGTCCGAATACATATTGGTTTTCGCACTCTAACTTTAGTTTAAGTGAATGGATCTTTTTGAAATTTGACCATAAGGTTAAATACCACAAAAGGAAGGTTGGGATTGATTTTGGGGGTTATGGTACCAACAGTTAAGGAATTAGGGGCCAAAAAGGGGCCAAAAATGAGCATTTTCTAGTTTCCAGACAATAACTGTGGAACGGTGTATGGATCTCTCTGAAATTATACTACAAGTTTCCATACCACAAAGGGATGGTTAGGATTTGCTTTGGGGGGTTATGGCTCAAACCGTTTAGGAATTAGGGGCAAAAAAGGGGGAAAAACAAGGTTGTCCTGGTTAATGGACAAATACTTTAGTACAAAACATAATTTAAAGCAGTGTAAGGGAGATAAATCAAATACATCATTGAAATTATCTCCCTTACACTGCTTTTAAATTATGTATAAAGTAATGGTTAATGAACAATAAAGATAATCTAAAACAGTGTAAGGGAGGTAATCCAAATACAACGTTTTGGTTACTTCCCTTACACTGCTTTTAAATTATGTTTAAAGAAATGCATATTTATAAAGGAAGACCAGTAAAAATATCTGCAAATGTTTTCATCTTTTTTTTTTTACAAAAAAATCCATATGAAAGATTTGACACTATATTTTTATTAATTCTATTATAAAATAGATTAAGTTAGCACTATGGTAAATTTAAATGGGTAATTATGGTTGCCAACTCCATTGGAAATTTGAATTGAGATTATGACCATATCTTGAGGGAAAGAATTTTTTGGGGGGAAAAAGGGGGGGGGGGATAAAAAGAAATTGTGGGGGGCCAATTTTTTCTCATTTCAGATTTCAGAAATTAAAAAGAATTATTCTTCAAATATTTTTTTTTTTCAAATTTCAAATATTGAAAAATTTCAAGAAGTAATCTTTAATTGCACAGTATGGCGCATTAGATTTGTAAAATCTTTGATCACATTTATTTATTTGTTATGCCGAATCTAACAGTGTATTTAGATTTTTAATTTTGGGTCCAGTTTTCAAATTGCATTAATGTCCAAAGGGTCCAAAATTAAACTTTGTTTGATTTTAGCAAAAATTGAATATATGAGGTTCTTTGATATGCTGAATCTAAACATGTATTTAGATTTTTGATTTTTGGCCCAGTTTTCAAGTTGGTCCAAATTGGGGTCCAAAATTAAACTTTGTTTGATTTCAACAAAAATTGAATATATGGGGTTCTTTGATATGCTGAATCTAACCATGTATTTAGATTTTTTATTTGTGGACCCCGTTATCTAATTGGTTCATATTGAGGTCAAAAGGGTCCAAAATTAAACTTTGTTTGATTTCATCTAAAATTGAATTATTGGGGTTCTTTGATATTCCAAATCTAACCGTGTATTTAGGTTTTTAATTTTTTTTATCCTGTTTTTTAAATTGGTCTACATTGAGGTCCAAAGGGTCCAAAATTAAACTTAGTTTGATTTTAACAAAAATTGAATTCTTGGGGTTCTTTGATTTGCTGAATCTAAACATGTGTTTAGATTTTTGATTATGGGCCCAGTTTTCAAGTTGGTCCAAGATAGGGTCCAGTATTTAAACTTTGTTTGATTTCAACAAAAAATGAATATATGGGGTTCTTTGATATGCTGAATCTAAACATGTATTTAGATTTTTGATTATGGGCCCAGTTTTCAAGTTGGTCCAAATTGGGGTCCAAAATTAAACTTTGTTTGATTTCAACAAAAATTGAATATATGAGGTTCTTTGATATGCTGAATCTAACCATGTATTTAGATTTTTTATTTGTAGGCCCCGCTATCAAATTGGTTCATATTGAGGTCAAAAGGGTCCAAAATTAAACTTTGTTTGATTTCATCGAAAATTGAATTATTGGGGTTCTTTGATATGCCAAATCTAACCGTGTTTTTAGATTTTTAATTTTAAGTCCCGTTTTTTAAATTGGTCTTCATTGAGGTCCAAAGGGTCCAAAATTAAACTTAGTTTGATTTTAACAAAAATTGAATTCTTGGGGTTCTTTGATATGCTGAATCTAAACATGTGTTTAGATTTTTTATTATGGGCCCTGTTTTCAAGTTGGTCCAAGTTGGGGTCCAAAATTAAACTTTTTTTGATTTCAACAAAAATTGAATATATGGGGTTCTTTGATATGCTGAATCTAACCATGAATTTAGATTTTTTATTTGTGGGCCCCGCTATCAAATTGGTTCATATTGAGGTCAAAAGGGTCCAAAATTAAACTTTGTTTGATTTCATCAAAAATTGAATTATTGGGGTTCTTTGATATTCCAAATCTAACCGTGTATTTAGATTTTTAATTTTAAGTCCCGTTTTTTAAATTGGTCTACATTAAGGTCCAAAGGGTCCAAAATTAAACTTAGTTTGATTTTAGCAAAAATTGAATTCTTGGGGTTCTTTGATATGCTGAATCTAAACATGTGTTTAGATTTTTGATTATGGGCCCAGTTTTCAAGTTTGTCCAAGTTGGGGTCCAAAATTAAACTTTGTTTGATTTTAACAAAAATTGAATATATGGGGTTCTTTGATATGCTGAATCTAACCATGTATTTTGATTTTGGACATTGGACCATAATAGGTAAATTAAAAAAATTCAAGTTCTTAGACCACATTCTTTCTGTGTCAGAAACCTATGCTGTGTCAAATATTTAATAACAATCCAAATTCAGAGCTGTATCAAGCTTGAATGTTGTGTCCATACTTGCCCCAACTGTTCAGGGTTCGACCTCTGCGGTCGTATCAAGCTGCGCCCCAGCGAAGCATTTTATCTATTTTAATATCTGTTATGATGTATTTAAATGGGCTTTTATGGTTACAAAGGAATTTTATTTTTAGATATTACTATAAAATGTTGCTGATGCTGATTAAGGATTTTGTTTATTTTTAGCCATGACTATGATGTCATTTTCTATTTTAATACCTTTATGATGTAATTTCCATTTTTAGATATTACTGTTAAATGATGCTGATTAAGGGTTTTTTGCTATGTTTAGCCATGACTATGATGTCATTTTCTATTTTAATATCTTTATGATGTATTTAAATGGGCTTTTATGGTTACAAAGGAATTTTATTTTTAGATATTATTTTAAATGTTGCTGATTAAGGATTTTTGTTTATTTTTAGCCATGACTATGATGTCACTTTCTATTTTAATACCTTTATGATGTATTTAAATGGGCTCCCATGTATTTAGATTTTTGATTATTTATACATGTTACCAAATTGGTCCACATTGAACAAAAACGGTCCAAATTTCAACTTTATTACATTACATCAAACATTGAATTCTACATATTCTTTGATATATTGAAATTAACAAACAATTTAGTTTATGGATATTCCACCATAATAGGTAAATTAAATTTTTTCCAGTTCTTACACCACATTCATCCTGTGTCAGAAACCTATGCTGTGTCAAATATTTAATGACAATCCAAAGTCATAGCTGTATCAAGCTTGAATTTTGTGTCCATACTTGCCCCAACTGTTCAGGGTTCGACCTCTGCGGTCGTATCAAGCTGCGCCCCAGCGAAGCATTTTATTCATTTTGCGCTGATATTACAAAAACTAAGATGGTTAGAGCAAAATTGACTTTGTTAAAAATAACAAACAGGATAAGGTCTATCTTCTATAAAATTTTCTTTCAAATTGGATAACCCATTATGGAGTTATTGTCCCTGAAATGTAAATTTTGTGTAATCAGCTAGTCCTGCAGTTTTCAACCAAGATCCTTGACATTTCACATACAGTTTTCACACCTATTGAAGTTGTGATTTTCCTATTATGAAGTTGTAACAAATTTTTTTTTCCATTTCTCACATGACATTTCCATATTTTTAAATGTTCATTGTAGACCATTTTACGTTAAGACATTTTTTTGTATCCTGGTGATTTGAGTCTTTGATCCATTTTTTTTTCACTTGTCTTAAATTGATTAGAATGGAAAACTTAATATTTATTATACCTTGTTGATGAACTTTAAAACATTATAATGTACTGATTTACTTCTATATTTAACTTATATTGACATAGTTTGTCTTATCTTTTTCAAAATTTCCTGATACTATATTTGAACAGAATGACTCATTTTTGTCTTAAATGATTTCCTTTTATAAAATGACAGAGTATATTGATAGTAAACCTTTTGTTGTATGATATTTCCTGACAGTTTGGTTGTGTTCTATTTCAGGGTGCTATAATGGCAGCTGTTTCCAGTTCTAAATGGAACACATTTTATAACGACCCTCCTGATATGGCAGAGGATGATATAACCTCAGCTGGTAAATATTACAGTTTTTATTTTAATGTGATTTGTTCGGTTGAAAAATATTTGTCTATTTTATGAGCAATTGATTTAGCATATTATACTCAAGGTAGTCTTATGTTTTATTACCCAAAATCCCAAATCTTTGTATGCATTTAAAATATGACCAAAGCAGAAAGGGATTTTAAACAATTTTGGTCATGTAAATTAAAAAGCATTGTGTATAGAATACTTGTTAGCATATATCTTAACTGGTTGCTTAAAAAATTATCATTTTTGCCTATATTTATAGAAAAAAAACATAAAATATTTTTTTTACAAAAGATTATGTCATTTTTAGATTTAAAACAAGAAGAATATTCCACCTACCATTTAGACTAAAAATGTAAAACAGTACTTCGGTTGATTCAAGAAGTTTTAATTAGAAGAAAATAAAACAAATAAATACACACAGACTTCCTTTCAAGGTCTCCTAGTTAACTGTGATGTGTGATAGTATCTGTCTGGTTTTGAACAAATGATACATGTCAGTTGTACTATGTGATGAATGAAATATTAAGAAAAGTGTAAAGTAGGCATAAACAGCATAGTTCCTATTTTTACCTTCATAATTTCACTAAAATGTACCAAGGCAATTGAATTTTAAAATTAAAAAAAAAACATATAATTTGAAGTGCTTTACTAAGAACTGTTAAAAAAAAGGGTTATAAATGCAGTAACTTTGTGGACTGGAACTAAGCATACAGTTCTAAATTTGAATACACATGTATTATTATTGATAAATAACTGAAATTAGTGTAGTGATAATTGATAGGTTTATTATATTTGAGTCTATCATACCTTCTTTTGATAATTTATTCATAATCTGTTAACAAAAAATTAAATAAAAACGAATCTGCTGTTCAAAGGGAAATAACCTTATTTCAATTTTTGCTTATTTTTTGTGATAGTCTCCCTTCATGTTTTATTACAAAGTTTTTTTTAGTGAAGGATGACAGTTTTTTTATATGCATTCTACTAACTGAGGGCTGTTTTTTTTTAACTTGTCCATCAATGATAGGCATACTATTGTAATGCTCTTGTCTAGTCATCAATCAAGTCCACATTTTATGGCCCCACAACAAAGTTGTCAGGGCCATATAGTTTTACCCTTATCTGTCATTCTGTCATTCCGCAACGAACAGTTATACAAACTTTTTTTCTAAACGCCTTCACATATTGAGCTGATTTTGAGAATGTGAGTCTACTATGATGAGTAACAAATCAAGTTTACATTTGGTTCCGATCCATTGATTTTTGCCGGAATTACCAATTTTGGACTTTCAAAATTTTGTGAAACAGTTATACAGACTTTCATTCTCAAATTTCCACTCCTAATGAAGCCATTTTCGAAATGGGGCCATTCATGTCGTCCTGACACTTCTAGTTGTCTTTACTGTTGCTAAATGTGAGACATAGGTATGAAAGTTGGTGACAGTGTTTGTCAAAACTTACTTTTTCAGAAGATAGAAGAGTGAGACAATCTTTATTTGGTATTTAGATGGATTCTGGGTTTAAGGGTCAATTGAAATAATTAAAATGTGTCTGTAATATTTTTACTTTGGGTTCAGTAATTGAAGAGTCTGTATATAAGGTTTATTGTTTGTGACCATAAAAATTATAAGCTTACTTTTTATGGCTATTATTTATCATGTTTGATTATTGTTGTGTCTTTTATTAAAAGCCATATTCTATTTCATCATTATTACACTATTTATAATTGTATGCAAGGAGTTATGTCCTATCATACTTGAAAAAATCGTTGTGGAAGAAAATGTTCATAGGCATATAGAAGATCCTGTTTTATTTGGTGTTAAAAGCTATATTTCAGGTAATCTTGTTTTATTTAAAAATCTGTAGCTTGGATGTCTCATTTATTGTTACTGTGACTTTGTAATGTGTCCTGTTTTATTTTGTTTCCAATATTCTTACTGTGACTATTTAATGAGTCCTGTTTTATTTTGTGTAAGGAGCTGTGTCTCAGGTGCTAGACTCATTGGAAGAGATACAGTGTTTGACAGATTGTTCCGAACAAGAAAAAGACCTCATCGAAAAAGTTTTCCAAGATACCAAACTACATGCCTTATTAAATGTAAGTACTTACACTATCTTTGTCGTGTTATAAATGTTCCATGTGATATGGATGATTTGTGGTGTAAAGCATTTCACCCATTTAATTGCTGCTGACAGTTATTGCAATGCTGATGGTTGATATGAATATTTGATATGAATATTTGATATGAGTATTTGCTATTAAGATACCTTCAAGTTAAAATTACCTGTAATATACTGACAAAACATATATCAATTCACATTATTTAAAGTAAATGACTTTTTATGGAAAAAAACCTAAATAAATTGTGTTAAAAAATCAAATTTTCCTTGACAATACTTAAATGATAAAGCCTTGATTTGTCTCTCTTTTCTCATATTATATACAGATAACTGAATTTAACTTGTACTGATGTACTTGCATAATTCAGAATCCTTTACTGTGATTGGTTACAAGCACTTACAGTAGTGATTATGTTTATTTTCTGATAGGGAGTGTTTAATGGGCTATACATACAAATATATAAATATTATATACATATCATAGTTGGTTAAAAACCAAAACGAAATTATTGAAAATTAACCCTTATTTTTCTGGAAGTTATTGATATGTAAACTATACCAATTTATTTGCAAATTTTACATAAAAGTTTGTAATATTTTGTGTTACTTGAATTTGAATATGTAAAATACACACATTTGACTTTGCACTTATAATTCTATAATTGAAATGAAAGAAGCATGTGATATGTATTTAGATTTGGTTCAATGGTAGTAGTACAAGGAACAATTGTAGGGTAGATCATAGATTAGTTTACAAATATATATTATAAGATTTCTGTAGTTGAGATGGTTTATGGTCAACTTCTTTTCATTTCTTACTTCAAGATGCCCTATTGTTCAAAATCTTTTCCGTTTGGTTTAAACCTCTGTTAGTGCTCAGATATTGGAGTTTGGCAATCGTCTTTCTGTCTTTGAGACAAGCGACATGACTATTGTTGTCAGTCCCACAGGTGCTGAAGATGATGAGTCTGACGAGGAAGGCAATTTTTATCTTTGCCTCCTATGAGATTTAGAAACTTAATTTTCTGTAGTATTTTAAATGGAGGGTACCCATTTTGTGAAATCATCTCCTCTTCATATCGTAACCAGAAACCTCAAACTTATTGAGATGTTTGTATACCCATTGAATCATTACACGTAACTTATTGAGATGTTTGTATACACATTGAAGCATTACACATAACTTATTGAGATGTTTGTATACACATTGTAGCATTACACATAACTTATTGAGATGTTTGTATACACATTGAAGCATTACACGTAACTTATTGAGATGTTTGTATACACATTGTAGCATTGCACGTAACTTATTGAGATGTTTGTATACACATTGCAGCATTACACGTAACTTATTGAGATGTTTGTATACACATTGAAGCATTACACATAATTTATTGAGATGTTTGTATACACATTGCAGCATTACACGTAACTTATTGAGATGTTTGTATACACATTGTAGCATTACACATAACTTATTGAGATGTTTGTATACACATTGAAGCATTACACATAACTTATTGAGATGTTTGTATACACATTGTAGCATTACCCATAACTTTGTTTATGTTATAGGGATTTTCTAACTTTAGTATGAAAATAATCTTTATAATTTCTGCTTTCACTGAAATGTATTTCCTCAAATATTTATTCAAACAATGAGCATATATGCATTTTACTAACATCAAAGACTTGTAATAGGTATATTTTTATTTGTGATATGATTGCCAATGAGACAACTATCCATATTACAATACTCTGTTAGTAAAGTACATATGCTCATTATTTGAACAAACAGCAGAAATTATAAAGAAAGATGGGAGTACTAAATTTGTTTGAAAATTTTAAGTTTTGTGAAAAGCTTTTGATTTGTCATATAAATTCAACCTGCATTATCAGAAAACAGATAGAAGTGAGCATTTCTTGGACAGATACAATTTTATAACTATATTTCATTATTGCAAAATATACCAAAGTGCCAAAGTTGATTAAAGGTGTCAAGAGTTGAGAAGAAATCAATGAATTTAATTTGAATATTGACAAGGATAGATGCTTGTGGCTCTTTTCAATTCTTTATATGAATTGTTTGGAAATTAAACTTGCTATGCATTAACAGAAGTAAAAAGTTAATTTGTTGTATAGCTTGTAGAATTAAGAATTAAGACTTATCTTTTGGAATTGACATGATATCTGATGTAATAAAGTTAACAAAACAGTTTGAATGAGTGAAATATTATTCAGACCTTGAAACAGAAATGTTTTTCTGAAAAGATATTTATGGTAAAAAATGATTTAGACATACAATAACCAAAATGACACAAAGAATTAGGACCAAGGCAAGACCCTCTTTAGGTTGAACCATGTCATATTCTGTTGAAATTTATAACGCTTAATAGATATGCAAATTAAAATGATTTTTGCCCCCATTGTTATTTGCTTTAGACAGTGCTCATAGCTTCAAAGTATATGGTATAACTATTTCTGCTTTTAACCACACTAGTTATTGTCATGCTGATGGTTTATTTCCTTCAGGGAAACATTGATCAAATTCCTGCACAAGTTTGTTATAGTTATAGTCTAAGAGCAGTTCATTTGGTCAAGATAAACATTTCAATTTTGGCTTAAACAAATTTTTTCTAGAGGTTATTGATGTGTAAACTGAGACTGATTAACTCAATGAAAGTCCAAAAGACTATTTATTCTTAGTTTGTAAATCAGAGGCCTAGTTTACACATCAATAACCTCCAGAAAAAAGTGTTTAATCTTTTATAATTCAGGTTTTTTTTTCAATTTCAACTGTCTTTGAACCCCAGGACTTCACTCATGTGTATCAACCAGGAATTTATCATAACTAAAAGATATTGTATGTATGATTATAACCGTGTGTTGGGAGTTGAATTACTATCTTTGCACACACAAAATAAAAGCTGTAGAAGAATTTTAAGTTTATACAAAGTTACCATATCTGAATTTAACATACAATTAACTATAACATATTTTTAATAAGAAGAAGAACTATATCAGCAAAAACAGCAATTTCTAAATAGATTTTGTTCTTCTTGTTGCTTTATAAATGATTTAAGAGAATAAATATTTGAAAGTTTATTGTTTATATATAATGTGCTCTGTATACTAACTAAACCTTCTCTCGATAACACAAAAGATGTGTAAAAAATTTAGTGTAAAAAAAAAAAGTAGCAACAAAATGAACTATTCATTTCAATAAAACCATACCACAGACCTTAATTATTGTTTTGAAGAAAATTGGAAATGCCAAATCAAGATATTGAACCATATATTACAAGATGTAATACTGGACTGAAACAAACATCTTATATTTAAAGATAAACTAAGCGTACCAGACTGAAAAATCAGTTGATCTGTGAAATTTATCAATTTGTTGTACAGATTGTTTAAACCTCTGATTAGACTGGTTTAATTGATCATTTTATCTCTATGACTAATTACTGGTGAAGTGTAAAGGTGACATCTCCTTTCTTTGATGAGAGGGTTTTGCGTCTTTAGCTTTCCGATTGACTTCCCAATTAATTCAGATAAATGTGAAAATGTTACAGACTGCTTAAGTGTATTCATGTAGAATCCTAAAAGCTTTTTAGGATATTGAACATAATTTTAATTTTAATTTGAACCAAATTCAGTCCTTTAATTTGTTTATGGGATAATTTGATTGTAGAAATGGCAATTCGAATCAGTCAACACATTGTGGTTAGTTAGGTAATGCTGCTGCTAACTCAGCTTTAAAGATGGTCACTTGGTTTTAGCACCAGTATTTTTCTTATATCACCTGGCATTATACAAAATTTGAAAAGTGTATGAGTTTTGTTTTTTTTTTTTAGATAATGGTTCTTATAGATTTTGCTAGCAATAATTGTAATTCATGGATCATTAAAAAAAATATGAGAATTAGAAAATCCAAGAAATAATTTTCTTACGCACTATATTGTTAATGCTACTGGGATGAGAAACAAATGTGAATGCAAATGTTAATTAACTCTTTGTTGAACAACTAATAAAAGCATTTGTATGAAATCTGAGTGTAATTTATTAAACTTTTTCATATGTACTTCCAAATACACATGCAGCAGTTACCAGTTAACACAAAAGACAAAGGCTTGAATGGGCTCTTTTATCTTGTTGTAAGGTTTAAGTTCTTCAGCACATTTTTAGAAAATTCAAGTAATTTTTAAAATAGAATACTGCAATAAGAGCACAGTTCCTTTTATATACTACCAAGCAGTATCATGAGAATCATGCTTCATGTACATCCATCCCATATTTCCACTGTGTTTCAACCATTCCCTTCCCAACTAAAGATTATTTGAAAAGTGATATAAGGTTGAATTTGAAATAAAGAGATGTGGTATGATTGCAATTGAGACAACTATCCACCAGAGTTAGAATAAGGAGATGTTGTATGATTGCCATTGAGACAACTATCCACCAGAGTTAGAATAAGGAGATGTGGTATGATTGCCATTGAGACAACTATCCACCAGAGTTAGAATAAGGAGATGTGGTATGATTGCCATTGAGACAACTATCCACCAGAGTTAGAATAAGGAGATGTGGTATGATTGCCATTGAGACAACTATCCACCAGAGTGAGAATATGGAGATGTGGTATGATTGCCAGTGAGACAACTATCCACCAGAGTTAGAATAAGGAGATGTGGTAGGATTGCCAGTGAGACAACTATCCACCAGAGTTAGAATATGGAGATGTGGTACGATTGCCATTGAGACAACTATCCACCAGAGTTAGAATAAGGAGATGTGGTATGATTGCCAATGAGAGAACTATCCACCAGAGTTAGAATATGGAGATGTGGTATGATTGCCAATGAGACAACTATCCACCAGAGTTAGAATAAGGAGATGTGGTACGATTGCCAATGAGAGAACTATCCACCCTATTGAGTAAGCCATAAACAATAAGTAACACCCATACCCTAT